AGGCAGAGATTAGCGAAGATTCGGAGAAGGCGCTGCTGGCTTGGGAGGATGATGAAGGAGAGGGGTCGGATGAGGGAGAGCCTGAGTATGGGACGATGGCTATACCACCAAGGGAAAGAGGGGATCTGGGACTGCGCAGTAAAGGAGTGGACGGCAGGGCAGAGCAGAAACAACAGGAGAAGAGAATTAGCAGGCAGCCGGAAGGGAGTGGAAGCTCAAGGACAGCGCGTCGTCATCCTGAAGAACGGCTCGTTTGCCAGCCTACAGCCTTAGTAGTGGAACCCAAAGCGGTAGCCGTACGGGGAATACTGGTGGAAAACGCAGTAGTGGATACGGGGGCACAAAGCGTGCTGATCGGAAAGAAGCTGACAGAGCAGCTGCGGGCCCAGGGAGAGTTGGAGATCGTGAGCAAAGGCATACTGATCATGACAGCCGACGGCGGGGCCCCCAAATGGATGCCCTGCACGCGAGAACCGATCGAGATCACTCTACGGCCCGGGGAGAAAGGAGAGACGAAGATTAGAGTGCAATGTGGGCTGACCGAATCAGAAGACTACGACATCTTACTTGGAATGGAGCTGCTGTTTAAGATAGGTACCATGATTTGTACTTGGGAAGAACAGGTGCTCTACCGCCCAGACTTCCGGGAAGAAGGGAAGGAGTTGAGTGAGTTGCCGGTACGATTCGTTAAGACAGAACCGAAGAAAGCCTGGAGGGCAGAAGGAGGGAGGAAGGAGAGCTTGCGAGGAGGGAGTTCAGAAAAGGAGAATGTTACCGCTAGCTTAGATCAGTACAGTATTACCTTGGTGGAGCTGTTCGGGGGGCTGGGAGCAGGCTTGGCAGCAGCACTAGAAGCTGGACTGAAAGTGAAAAAGTGGGTATATGTGGAGTTAGACCCGGAAGTAAGGAAGATGGCGTGGAACCATGCTCTGATGCTACAACAGCAGTACCCAGTGCAGCTGACAAAGGGAGTGCTACGGGAAGCCATGCAGAACAAAAAGTGGGACGTGGGGCAGCTTACCAAGGAAGATGTGAGAAGCTGGGGGAAGGTGGATTTACTCGTGGCCGGATGGGAATGCCAGGGCACTTCCAGAGCAGGAAAGGGGAAGGGCTTGCAGGATGAACGTACAGCCATGGTATCCGCTCTTCTGTCAATCATGAGGTGGGCGAGAGAAGCGGGAGGAGAATATGCTTACATACTGGAGCATGTGGATATGAGAGGAGATGCACGGGAGCCAGTCCGAGCAGTACGAGAGCTAGTGGAGGCAGAACTGGGTAGGGGGGTGAGTTGTGATGGCGCACAGCTGGGGGCATGGTGCCACCGAGTGCGACAATTTTGGCAGAATGTCCTGCCAGAGGGAGAACTGAGGGCAAGACTAGCAAGGGTGGAGAGGGATGGGACTCGGATAGTGGAAGACATTCTGGAACCGGGCAGAGTCGCCGCACCAGTGGTGAAGCCAGATCATCCGCGGCAGTACCAGTGTAACCGAGTGGGAGAGGCACGGAGAGCTTGGCCGACGTTGGTAGCCTACCCTCAGGCTCAGGGGTTCGTGGAGGTGGATGGGCAACCCGGTCCAGGGATGGTGTACGACTACCGAAAGAAGAAGTGGGAAGAGCCGACGGCCTTAGAACGAGAATTAGCCATGGGTTATCTGCCGGGGGCAACAGCTGCGGAGGGAATGGGAGAAGCAGCACGCAGAGCGGCTCTAGGCAGAGCCATAGACCAGCACACATTGAGGTGGTTAGTAAGGGAGATGAGAAAGGGTCCGACTAGCAGGAGAGGAAAGGCAGGGACAGAACAGGGACAATGCATCCAGCAAGCATCATACGTAGCTCTCAGTAAGACCACGGCAGGGATGGAGGCTGACCCCAGGACCACAGGGGGCAAGGAAGCAGAGCCAAGCAAAGACTGGGAATTAGGAGCTGGCATAGGGGAGCAAGTCGCAGCTGCAATTCAGGAGGTACTACGGCAACACAGGAACACTTTCGCGTACAACTTGTCAGAGCTGGGGAGGTATAAGGGGAGAGAGCTGGAGCTAAACCTCACCACGGAGCTGCCCACATATCAACGCAGGAGGAGGATGAATGCAGAGGATGCAGCCATATGTAAGGAGAAGTGCGAAGAGCTGCTGGCCGCAGGGATTATCCGCCCGTCAGAGTCAAGCTACGCCGCAGCCACAGTGGTAGCCGCTAGGAAAGATATCACGGGGAAGGTACTGGCGAAGAGGATGTGCGGGGACTTCAGGGAGCTGAACAAGATCACTAGTCCAGATAGGTATCCAATGCCAACTGCTGAAGACATCTTCGACCGTTTAGAGGGCGCCATCATCTTCACCACCTTGGACCTGCGGCAAGGGTTCAACCAAATAGCCATTAGGGAGGAAGACAAACGGAAGACGGCGTTCCACGGGGTGGATGGGCTGTATGAGTACAATGTGATGCCTTTCGGGATTCGCAACGCCCCTGCAGTGTTTCAGCGAGCCATGGATCAGGTGCTGAAGGGGATTCCGGCAGCAGCATGCTACATAGATGATATACTGATATTCAGCAGCAGCGAAGAGCAGCACGTGCAAGATCTGAAGCGGACGCTAGAGGCAATAGCATCTGCAGGCCTAACGTGCCATCCAGACAAGTGCAAGGTAGCAAGGCAGACCGTGGCTTACCTGGGCTTCGAAGTGAAGGGGGGCCGGCTGGCAATACAGGAAGCAAAGGTGAAGGTGCTGGAGAACTTAGCAGCACCCAAGGACAAGACCGGGCTGCGGGCGCTACTCGGCTTCCTGAATTATTACAGGAAGTTCGTTCCGAACTTCAGCCGCCGCGCCTACGTACTGAATCAGCTGCTAAAGGAAGGGAGGAGCTGGCAGTGGGGAGAGCTGGAGGAAACGGCAAGGCAGGACCTGCTGGAAGCAGTACGGACTGGAACACTGCTGCAGATACCGAGGGCAGATGCCCCTTTCATCTTATACACCGACTGGAGCAGCACAGGAATGGGGGCAGTGCTCTGCCAAGAGATAGAGGGAGAGGAGAGAGTGGTAGCCTTCGCCAGCCGCAGCTGCAGCCCATCCGAGGCTAACTACTGCTCTTACGAAGGGGAGGGCCTGACAGCTGTATGGGGGATCACTCACTTCAAGGTGTACCTGCAGGGTCGGCATTTCACACTTGTGACTGATCATCAGCCGTTGCTATGGTTGATGACTCATCAGGAGCTGACTGGGAGAAACGCACGCTGGGCCATTAAGCTGCTGGGATTCGATTTTGAGATCCGACACCGACCTGGGAAAACTCTGCAGCACGCCGATGGGTTATCAAGGAACCCGCCTCCTTTGCAGCCGGTAGCACAACTGGCAGCCATGGCTCAGGTAGCGGCAGTAACCTGGGGGCAGGAGAAGGGAAAGAAGCGGTTAGGGGATATATGGGAAGATGAGGAGACCATGAGCTGGATCAAAGGGGAGCCACTCGAAGAGGGAGGAGTGAGCGAGAGAGCCAGGGCCCGAGGACAGCATTTCAGGTGGTTTCAGGAACAGCTGCAGCTGAGAACTAACGAAGGGTGGAAGGTAGTGCCGCAGCCACAGGAGAGGGCCAGGATTATGGGGAACGTGCACGCGAAGCTGGGGCACTATGGCATAACCAGGACGCGGCAGCTGCTGAGCACCATGTACTGGTGGGCGAGCATGGGAAAGGATGTAGCAGGATTAGTGGCGAGCTGCGAGGCTTGTCAGAGGAATAAAGCAAGGCTGGAGAAAGAGAGGGATGAGCTGCATTCGTTACCAATTCACGGGTTGGGCTACAGGTGGTCGCTGGACCTCGCGGGGGAGCTACCGCTGTCGAAAGGGGGGAAGCAGTACATTCTGGTGATGGTTGAGCACACGAGCAAATGGGTGGAGGTGCGTGCATTACCAAGCAAGAACAGCGCACTGATAGCAGACGCATTTGAGGAGCTGGTGCTTACCAGGTATGGGGCATGCGGAGAGGTACTCACTGATCAAGGGACTGAGTTCCAAGGGAGCTTTGATGAGCTGTTAGAGGAGATGGGTATCACGCACAGGGTCACCTCTAGGTACCACCCGCAATCAGACGGACTGACCGAGAGGCTCATACAGACCTTGAAGAAAGGACTTCGGGCCTACAGTGAGACCCACAAAAGGAGCTGGGACCGAGATCTATGGTGGGTACTGGCTGGGTACAGGTTCGCAAAGCAGGCGGCACTGAAGAACCTATCCCCATACCACCTGCTGTTCGGACGGGACCCTGTGCTGCCGGTCGACGCACCGAAGCTGCTCTCTGCGGTTATAGAGGCGGATGAGCCGAACCTGTGGGCGGAGTTAGCATATAAGAGGGCGAAGTATTTGAAGGAGCTGACTCCGGCAGCCCTGGATAATCTCCACGTGGCGCAGTTGCGTGATGCTAGACGATACCAGCAGCGTAAAGCATCAGGGGTGGGAGGAAGGGAAGACAAGGTGGAGGCAGGACAGGAGGTGTACCTCCGCAAAGCTAAGCGCGACACGCTGGACTTAGCTGTGGGTTCAGAGCGGTGGAAGGTGAAAGAGATTCGAGGCTCGGGAGTGTTAGTGCTGGAAGATATCCGAGGGGGAACCATCAAGGAGCACATCACCAACGTGGCCAGGGCGGGACAAGGGAAGCCTCAGGCATTGGGTCCCGTGGCTCGAGCGGCTAAGATGAGCGCTGAGACACGGGAGGGGGCAGGGAAGCCTGAGATACCAGGAGGATTACAGGACAGGGTGATTACCTACACCAGGAGGAAGAAGGGCTGAACCTGTGGTAGGGAAGGAAGGAGATAAGGGAGAATCAGCGGGATACGCATGGGAGAGTGAGAATGAGAGTCTGCAGAGGAGGATTCACGACAAAGGCCATGGTGGGTGTTGTTGGGGCAAGGCCATGGTGGGTGTTGTTGGGGCAAGGCCATGGTGGGTGTTGTTGGGGCAAGGCCATGGTGGGTGTTGTTGGGGCAAGGCCATGGTGGGTGTTGTTGGGGCAAGGCCATGGTGGGTGTTGTTGGGGCAAGGCCATGGTGGGTGTTGTTGGGGCAAGGCCATGGTGGGTGTTGTTGGGGCAAGGCCATGGTGTGTGTTGTTGGGGCAAGGCCATGGTGTGGGATCAGGGAGGCTGACTCGCGGTGGGAATCAAGGAACGAAGGAGGAGCGGCAGGAGGGGGAACGGGAGGTTAGCGTCTTGGTCTGTGGCAGGTGAAGTTAAGACGCCAGGCGTTTGTGAGTCTGCTGTGTAGTGTGTTCAGCAGCTTGCTCTCTTGCGCTTGTTGTGAAGCCTGTTCATCCCTCGTATGTGCCATGCCCCTTTTTCCTTTTCCTACCCTATCTGGTCTCTGTGTGTGGATGCAGAAGCCATGGGGGTGAACGGCGGCCACCATCTAGTTAAGAGGCGGCCGGCCAGCAAGTACCGATACGATGAGTGGTGAGTGCCGCCATATCGCCATCCCAGCATCAAGGGCACTGCTTCCCCCTCACTTGCTTCTTCTCCCATATCCGCCCCATCTCCCTCTCCCCCCTTACACACCTCCCTCCACCTGTCCCTTCCTCGTCTTACACTCTTCATTCGGTTCCCCCTCGCCACCCCCCTTACCCCCTCCCCACCTCTCCCCACTCCTCCCCACCCGACTGTGCATGGGGCAGGGACGAGGAGCTGGACAGGGGGCGCGTGAAGAAGGTGAAGCGCAAAGCAGATGGTGATGCGCCTGACCCCATGGGAGGGAGGAACAAGAACCCCTTCCAGGAGCTCTCTGCCATGCCTGCTGGTGCTGCTGGGGGTGGTGGTGGTGGGGAGGGAGGGAGGGAGGCGCATGGGAAGAGGCTTGGGAGGTGGATGGGGAGGGACAAGGGCAAGCACGACAGCAACCGGCATGTGGCGAAGCTCAGGGGGAAGAAGGCCAGGCCTAGATGGTAGCGTTTTGCTGAGTGTTGCTGATAGATGTCTAGCTATTTACAAATATCAGGCCTGGATGGCAACTGGGTTGGATGGCATGGAAGTTTTGGTGTACACCGGCTGAGTGTACTTGGGTATTTTCGTTCTTACTCAAGGGTATAGGCAAATTACAGTATATTTCTTTTGTCCTTACCATTTAGGATGCAACGCAACATATATCCCAGGCGCTACCAAGCACTAGATTATCCCTTGTGCCACGGTGTCAAAAAGTTTCGCAGTAGTCATTTGCACCACACCATTTTTTCCATTTGCGCCCAACCCCTGGGCGCGAATTTGCCCTGCCCGCGATGGAAACTCTGCACCCGTGTATTAGGGTGCCAGCCAGTTGCACCACATTTACAAGCACCTCCAGCAATACGAACCACAAAAACCGAAGTTTGACAGAAGAGACATGTCAGAATCCCAACCACTAGGCCATTGGGATAAAAGGGCTTGTTTGTGTAGCGGGTAAGTGCGGCCATAACCCCCCAGGCCAACATGCCTGTAACCCTTCCCTAGGATCAATCGGGGATCACCAGTGGACCTCTGACAAGACCAACGTCACATGGTCAACACAGAGTTACAAAATATTTTAAAAGCCCTTTTTGCTAAGTGCGAATTGACGAAAACTTAGCGAAATGCAAGAATCACTTAAGAGCCCTCTTCACAATGCAACCTTGGGCTAGTCAAACGGGCATCTTGTGTACTTGGAGAGGCACGTCAGATTGTTGCGTTCGCTGATTGGTGGTGTGTTGAGTAAGTCTCAAACAGCCAACCAATCGGATATCGACACGCGTTCTTGGCATAAACCTCAACTCCCGCGTAATCTATCGCGCCATCTGGCAGGTTACTCTGAGATCGTCAACAACTTGTCGAAGCTGCTCGTGCTTCGACGTTGCCAGCTCTCAACTTTCTCATGGATGTAAGTGGACCATGTGGAATGTGTTGCCGAATTTCCGCGCCGGGGCGGGGTGCATCATGCTGTTTTTGGGGATCGCGATCCCAAGCGATCCTTGTTACAGTGTTATGTCGTGTATGTACAGAGATTACTGTAGCGATGCTGCACCGCGATCCCAGAGGGCCTTGAAAGGTTGGTCAACCACCTACCAAACAGCCTTCGATCAGGTTAGATCCCATAGCCTGCGATCAGCCGCGATCAGGCGTTGGTGCACCGCGTGCACACCGACCCTTGCTAGCGAAATATTTGTTGTCGCATAACGGAGAAACGAAACAGCTGCGAGTGCATTGCGAACGAATTACCAGATCAGCTAACTGCAGATGCGACTCCTTGACCGCATCTCATTGGCGGCTGGGGATCGGTAAAGGTAAAGGTTTTAGGGGAAACCCCCTTTGGTATTACCCTGGCTGTCGATCGTAATCCGCCTACCCACGTATTTACACGCCTCGTTGGGTATCGAGGAAGGACTATCCACTCCCAGATGAGCAGTGCGAAACCCCCTTCTGGGGGCTTGGCAGAACACACCAGCACTGGGGTTTGAGCCCGGAACCTCATCCTTCGGAAGTGCCCATTCTACTGACTAGGCCACTTCAGGATGCGGTTGGGGATCGGGGCAATAAACTTGGAGGTGGTGCATCAAAGAAGGGGTGCCGCTGGATTAAAGGCTCTTCCGAGCACATCCAACCCAACATGAGACCCTATGATTGCAGTGCTAGCATCGCAATCACGGGCGATCGTGCAAAAAAAACCATGATGCACCCCGCCCTTATCGTTTCCAGTTACTTTTACCGGCGGCGGCGCAATCCGTTCGTGAACACTCTACGCGACCTGTTCGCCGGTGGATTCTCTGCCACGTAAGGACGTGTCTCAGTTCGCCTTTGATTGCCTATTTCAGACGTGATCAATAACTTCTAGGAAGGTATGGAAGCGATTTCAGGCGATCGGGGGCAATCACTTGATCGCGATCAGCTGATCGCCCCCACACGATCAACTGCCTAAAACAGCCCAATCAAACACAATCCCACACAATCACCGACGATCACTTGATTGCATTTGATTGGGGTACTAAACGGCGCTGGCGAAATGTTACAATGTTCGGCATGGATTCGTGAACTCGTCGTGAATACCCTGTCGTCGCGAATCTGGACCTGCAGCGTTTCTGGGCATCTGGCTTCGCGAAATAACAGGGAAACACTAAACTCGCTATTTCCATGCCGAGGCGTTCGGAGTCACCAAAGTGGGCCCGAAAGTGGCACGAAACATTTGGACGCTTGCCACGTACCCTCGTAAAATATTTGAGGAAATTCTTCGCTCATCGGGCGGCGCGAGCTATTCAAACAAAGGCAACCCGATCAGATCAGCCTCGATGAGATCATAGCCGACCAGAGGCAAACCGAGGCACGTCCTAATCATGCTTCGACGAGACGGCTCGTCGTGTTGTATCTGTGTGCGAATGCCCACCACAAGCCTCGACCTTCATTGTCAGTCGAGCTCCACTCATTATGGCATCATCGCAAAAACATGGAGGATGGAGGGGTAGCTTTAGTTTCAGGTGCTTTGAAGCTGCTTGACTGAAAGTTACGACACAGCTACCTTTGAGTTGCTTTGAGCGTGGGCGATTCGGTAATTGTCAGAGGTCCACTGGTGATCCCCGATTGATCCTAGGGAAGGGTTACAGGCATGTTGGCATGGAGGGTTATGGGCGCACTGACCCGCTACTTAACAAGCCCTTTTATCCCAATGGTCTAGTGGTTGGGATTCTGGCATGGCATCAGCGTGAAGGTCTTGGGGTCAAATCCCGGTGTGTGCACTTTGGGCATCCCAATGCGGGGGGGTGTCAGAGGTCCACTGGTGATCACCGATTGATCCTAGGGAAGGGTTACAGGCATGTTGGCCTGGGGGGTTATGGGCGCACTGACCCGCTACTTAACAAGCCCGTTTATCCCAATGGTCTAGTGGTTGGGATTCTGACAATAATCGGCAGGGAGATTAGAGGTTGCCACCTAGGACCGCTTACTACTACGGGCCCACTATTCCGCTAGAAGCGCCCTCGTGCGCCCTACCTTACGTGCGCCCTCGTGCGCCCTTCTCTGCTCGTGCGCCCTTTTTTTTTCTGCTAGTACGCCCTCGTGCGCCCCGCCCTTCGTTCTGCCTGCGCGCCGTCCTGCAGCCCTTGTGAAAGGAATGAACAGGAATGAATTGACTAAGTCAGAGTTGGGTACAAATACAACCCTAGCAAACTGTACCCCATATGAGCTACCCCACTATAGCCTACAAACATGCATCAGCTATAATAATCTGACACACCCCCATAGGCAAAGTGGGGGAGAACAAGGGGTCACAAGACCAGTCAAGCAAAACAAAGCAAGCTCAGGGTGGATCACAAAGTCACCACACAGTCCGAGCACAAGAGCAAGGCCAGAGGCCAGTTCACATGCAGGAGTACAGACATATATATAAAACTAGACAAGCAAGAGCAGGTATATATATGTCAAAGTACAAGTAAAGTCAAGAAGAGAGCAAGTGAGGCAAGACAGGTACAAGACCCAGCTGGGTACAAAAGCGCTGATGGTCGCAAGGCGCAAGTGCCTTGGTGAACACATCAGCAGTGTTGGCCTCAGAGGCCACGTAAGCAAGTCGCAACTGACCACGCTGCTGCAGCTCACGAGCAAGGAAGTAGCGGAGAGCAATGTGCTTCGTTCTGTGCTCCAAGCGCTGCTCTCGACACAAGGCCAACATGGCCTTGTTGTCTACGTACAGCACTGGAGGAGAACGAGGCAGCTCTCCAAGGTCAGTCAGCAGGTAGGTGAGCCAGCGAAGCTCCTGTGCAGCCATGGCCCCGGCGTAGATCTCAGCCTCACAACTGGAGCCGAGAACCGAAGACGAGCGAGTAGACCGCCACGAGACCGAGCCGGAACCAAGGCTGAAGGTGTAACCCTGTGACGACCGCTGCGTAGCCTGGTCGTCAGCCCAAGAAGCGTCTGCGTGCCCAGTAAGGACCACTGGACTCCGCCCTCCAAGCACTAGCCCCATGCCCGACGTACTGCACAGGTAGCGCAATACCCTCTTCGCTGCAGCCATGTGCTCTGGTCGGTGTCTCCCAGGAGCAACATAGCGTGCAAGGATGCTCAGAGAGTATGCAAGGTCAGGTCGTGTGCAGGTCATCAGGTACATGAGGCAGCCAACAAGCTCTGCATACGGACCACTCGACTCTACGGACTCATCCGAAGGCAGAGCTGAGAGTGAGTGGCGAGTAGGCAGAGGAGTGGCCTGAGGCGAGGAGTACGTGAAGCCGAAGCGCTGAAGGACCTGCTGCACCATGTGTGACTGAGTCAGGGTAATGGTGCGGCGTGCTCTGTCCCGAGTGATCTGCAAGCCAAGGTAGCTGCGCAGTTCACCCAGGTCTGTGCACGTGTGTCTCTTCAGCAGCTCGGACTTCACGTAGGCGAGTCCAGCAGTGTCCGCTGTGGCAAAGACCAAGTCGTCGACGTACACGAGGATGTAGAACGGCGGCAGGGAAGTGTCGGTGCGAAGAAACAGCGACGGGTCAGCAGTAGAAGGAGCAAACCCAAGAGCCGCAAGCGTAGTCCTCAGTGTGTCGTGCCACTCACGCGGTGCCTGGCGGAGACCGTAGACTGGCCGTCGGAGGCTCCACTGGGTGCCAGGAGGGAAAGTCCCAGTGAAGCCAGGCGGACGGCGCAGCCAGATCTCCTCGTGCAGGCTACCCTGCAGGAACGCAGTGCTGAAGTCGAGAGAGTGAAGCTCGTAGTCGCGCTGAGCGGCAATGTGCAGCAGCACCCGAAGAGTGGTCATCTTCGGGGTGGGAGAGAAGGTCTGAAAGTAGTCAACTCCCTGCCGCTGACTGAAGCCACGAGCCACGTAACGCGCCTTGAAGACAGGCGGCGAGCCCGGCGGCCGCTTCACCCTGAAGATCCACATGCCACTGACGATGTTCGCCCCAGGAGGGGGAACCGCGTCAACGTAGGTGCCTGTGGACTTCCAGGAAGCCATCTCTGCATCCATA